TTTTTTTTTTTTTTTTGAGGCAGGGTCTCCCTTTGTAGTTCAGGCTGGTCCTTGAACTCACTATGTATCCCAGGCTGGCCTCAAAGTTATGACAATCCTCCTGCCTCAGCCTCCTGAGTGCTGGGATTACAGACGTGCAACACTACACCCTACTGCATTTTACCATTTGAAACAAATATTTTCTTTTCTTGAAGTGACATGCTGTATTTATTCCATTTTGAGAGGATGTCTGCCGAAATAGTCAAGTAATCGCACAAGTATACAATTTCTCAGGACATATTGTCCTTCGATGTGCAGAAGTGCTTTGTGTGTGCTTCCTGTTCTATCACAGTGACTAGTACAGGGACAAGTACAGTACCTAGGGCTGAGGATTAATAAAATTAATAATTTCCACCTCTTCCTCAGGTCACTTTTATGTGAAGCTGGCTCTTTCCTCTCACTGCCTCAGCCCCCAAACGAGTACAGCACAGAGCTCCTGCCTCAACTGTGCAAAGGCACAAAAGCTTTCCATCATCATCTGTAATTAGTGCGAAATGTGTACTGTGAAAAAGGCAAACAATGTCCTCATATCGTTATGAAAATAGATTTACCTTCACAGATCTCAAAGGAGTTTTGAGGATCCAGGAAGAATCTGCAGATCACAGTTTCTGTTGTTGTTGTTTTTGGTTTTGGGGGGTTTTTTTGAGACAAGGTCTTACTGTATAGTTCAAGCTGGACTTGAACTCACTGTGTAGCCCAGATTGGCCTCAAATTTGTGGCAATCCTCCTGCTTCAGCCTCCGGAGTGCTGAGATTCCAGGCGTGCACCACTGTAGAAGGCAGGTCACAGTTTAGAAACCACTGTTTCCGATGAAATGTCCTGGAAATACCCATTGTATTCAAATGAAGTACTCATTTTGAAGTGGTGTATTTAGCCAAATAAGTTTTCCGTGCTGCTCATGGAACACAGAGCTGAAATGATAGTGATCGATCTCTCTGTCCCTGTGAAATAGGATCTAGAAAGGAGACCTGAAGAGCTTGAGGAACTTTATTCATTAGAGGAATGTTTTCCTGAAGCAGAGAAATTGAAACAAGATAGTAGATCACTCTCTCAGGTAAGGCTGATCTCTCTTTTTGAGCTAAGACTTTTGTGAAGAGGATGTCCTACGTAGCCTGAGACCCATTTTGATCTCGAGAAACTTGAAATGTATCTGTCTCACCTGACAAATCTATTGCTTATTGCAAAGCAAACTGATATAACCTTGCCGAAAGCTACTTGGCAGCCGTCATGAACTTGAACTATTTCTCGCCCTAATTTTGGTTGCTGTTGGGACTCTGAGCAGGTACTGTGGGTAGCTGTGCCAAGCGAATTTACAGGCACCGTTTTGTTCGACAGCTTGCGCTCACTTCGTGTCTGATCATTCTCATCTACCTCACACATTTTCGTTATTACTAATTTTACGCTGGGTGATGGTGTGATCAGCCATCCTTAATGCTGCCGTTGTCATCGTGCGTAATCATCTCAGACGGCGCAGTTGGTAAGTGTGTGACCAGTTACTGACCGGCCCAGCTCTGTCCCAGCCCCCTGTTCCCTGACATACACCACTATTGAGATCGGGCCAGTTAATAACCGCGTAATGGCCTCGGAGTCCTCAGGTAAAAGGAATCACTGTACATCCCTCTCTTCAAACCCAAAGCCTGAAATGGTCAAGCTTGGGGAGCGTGATGGTTTGCATCTAGCATCTAGATGTCTCCTCAAAGCCTCATGGGACATGGGTGAGGCTTTTCGGAGGTGATTGGATTAGGGTGTGTGAATATGGATTCAAGGTGGGTGATAACTAGGTTAGCCCACCCCCGCCGATTGGCTTAGCATGGTTCTGCGTGAGGTTGATGGGAAGACCCACCCTGGGTGTGGGTGGAGCCAACCAATAGGCTTGTAGCCCAGCTGGAATAAAAAGTAAGAGGCGGGTAGCTGGTGCTTCCTGCTGGTCGTGCCCCTCTGCCGTGTGCTACCGGTACTGCCTTGGAGCCAACTGAATATGGACTGCAACCTCTGCAAACTGTGAGCTGCATTAAATTTTTCCTCCTTTAACTCGTGGGAGTCAGGTGTCTTGTCTCAGCAGTGAGAAAGTAACTAAGAGAGTGAGGGAGTTTTGTTCAAAGCTGACATGGGCTAAAAGCTATCCAAACCATCAAGGTAAGAATGCAAAGAAGCTTTTTGATTATTTGTTTGCTGTTGTTGTTTGGTTGGTTTTTGGTTCTTGGAGGACAGCGTGTATGTCTGTGTAGTGTAGCTCCAGCTGGCCTCAGACTTTCATCGATCCTCCTGCCTCAACCTCCTGAGTGTTGGGATTACAGGCGTGCGCCACCACACCCACATAAAGGACCAGTTTTTGAAGGAAATTAAAAGTGCTACTCCAGTGAACACACTAGTGAAAGAAAGTGCAATAGCCCCACTGCTGACATGTAGAAATTTGAGAGATCAGGATAGAAGACCAAACTCGCCACGCCATTACCTTAAGCCAGCCTAGCCCAGAACAAGTCTGGAACTCTCTTCAATTCTCTGGAGGTGGAGAAAGGTGAGGCAGCTACAGGAGAAAAGTTTGATGCTGGCAGAGGTTGGTTTATGAGGCTTATGTATTTCAAATATAAAGTAAAATCCTTGGGAAGCCGTGGATTTGGACTGGGCAGCAATGCTCAGCTCAACAGACCAAACCAATAGTTTTATGACAGGTAGCTGAGCTCTGATTGGTTTTAGCGGAACCTGTAGCCAATTAACTGATTGGTTGATGAAGCCGGTAAAGTTTTCTATGATTTGGTTTCAGTTGTTTGTTTGTTTGCTTGAAATGGGATCTTGATATGCAGTTCAGGCTGGATTTGAACCTGCTGTGTAGCCCAGGCTGGCCTCGAATTCGTGGGGTCCCTCCTGCCTCAGCCTCCCATGTACTGGGCCTTTAGGCTTGTGCCACCACACCTGGCCTTCATTTTCTTACAGGTTTTTGCTGATAGGTTGTTGGCTGGAGTTCTCAGAAAGTTCTCTGTTCCTGGGAACAATGAGATTCATGAATTATTTTGTTCTTTGCTCAGATAAATTCTGCTAGACCTCACCGGCCTAAGCAATTGTCCCTTTGGCATAGTCATTTGTATCTGCAGCACAGCCTCACTAACCCTGGAAGCCTTCCGCTTAACCAGGAATAGGTTCTTCCTGTCGCGGGGCAGGGTATGAGGAGGCTCCCCAAGCTGAGATAAGGTTCCTAATCCTTTCCACCTGCAGAATAGGATCGCAGGTTCACTGACTCCTGTGGAGAAAAACAAAGCCCAAGATGGCTGTGCAGTGGTTCATGCTGTGAAGGGGCTTCCGGGAGGTGCTGCCTCCCGTCAGCAGGACTCCTCGGTTAGTACCCTGTCCAGCCAGGTCACTACTGGGAAAAGCCACCACCGTGTAACCTTCTTGGACGCCAGGCTGGGAGTAAAGACGACTCACAGGCCCACCGTCAACCTGTGGGCTCTGAGTTCTTGAGCAACACTCCCAGAAATGAAAGGAAGTTTTTAGGGCCTCCTAGCAAGAGGGTTGGGAAGGGTTTATTAGACAGACATTCTAGTACCCAAACAGTGCAGGCCTGAGAGAGGAGAGGGAGAGGGGCGCGGGGGGCTACAGTTTGGACGTGGGGGTACTGATGAGATTTTGGTGTTGGACATTTGTGGAAATTTTTGATAATGTATAGTTTTGGCCATGGTCTGGTAGGAAGATAACCACCCGCAGTTAAGAGCTTCTTTGTCTTTCGTGTAGCAGCCTAATTTATAGGCGGAAAGGTGGTCGATAGTGGACAACTTTGGTCTTGGCTGGGTGGGTGGGGAAGGAAGGCCCAAATAAGGTCACCTTTAGGCTGTGGGTGGGACCTAATCTACAGGTGAAAAGGCGGCGTATTCACAAGTGGCTGAGAATAGTCACAGGTGGCAGGAAGTGGCTGAACTATTTGTAGAAGGGGAATTGCCCAGGCTTATTGTGTTTGGGAGAAGAGAGAGAGAAAAAATAATAATAAGCTGAACTAGCATCTTGAAGCTGCAGTTTTCATTTTTATTTGTCTCGGTTTTTTTGAGAGACAGTCTCACTATGTAATTCAGGCTGGCTTTGAACTCACTGCGATCCTCCTGCCTCAGCCTCCAAGTGCTGGGATTGCAAGCGTGCACCACTAGACCTATTTCTGTCCTTTTTTTTTTTCCTAGGTTTTAATTCTATCCTACGTACTGAGGGCTGGGCTCTGGTTTATGCTGAGAGAGGAGGCGAGCTGCTTGGGGTTCGTGGTGGCTGGTTGGGCCAGCCAGAAACGAGGCTGGACCCTGGGTCTACAACTCCTCTATTGGAAGGCAGCTGTTCCCACCACTATTCTATCAACACAATTTTTTTTTTTTTTAAGACAGGATCTTGCTCTGTAATTCAGGCTGAGCTTGAACTCACTGTGTAGCCCAGGCTGGCCTCAAACTCATAGCAATCCTCCTGCCTCAGCCTCCCAAGTGCAGGGATTACAGTCGTGCGCCACCATACCTCGCTTCCATTGGGACTCTTAGTCAGTTCCATGAATAAGAATCCCCAGAATTTATTTTTAGAGAAATGGATGAACATTACTAAGAAATAATTTGGCTTACAGTATTCATAGTGAGGAAGTTTTAATTCGGATAATGTTGCTAGCTGGTAGAGGAAGGATTAAAAACTTCCTAGAAACAATGACATACATTTGTTTTACCTAGTACCAGAGGCTTTTAAAAGACAGAGGAGGAGTTTGTATAGCTGAGCTCTTACATCAGTGGGCTGTGCTTTTGTTTGTTTGTTTGGGGTGTTTTGGTTTGGTTGGTTTTTTTTTTTGGGAGAGTTGGGTTTTTTTTGGTACTGGGGATTAAACTCAGGACCTGTCTCATGTGAGGCAGGCACAGTTCCACTGACCGAAATGAAAGGGGTCTCGAGCCCCCTTTGGGTGCCCCTTGCCCAATTATGCCACTCACGCACCGAGAGGTCCGGCAGGAGATCTTTATTGTAGGGAGGCGAGCGGGAGGCAGGAAGGCAGAGAGCGAGAGAGCGAGAGGAGGAAATACTGGGATATTCATAGGGCACGCAACGGAAGATCCTTCCTTGGGAGAAGCGGTCTTTGTTATCCTATCGCAAGCTAGGTTGTCTTTTGAATTTCGCGCTTTACAATTTCGGTGGGAGAAAGGACTCAGAGTCGGGAAAGAACCCGGAAGTAAGATATAAAATGGCTGTGGGGGGGTTATATTTTAACATGTGCCATCTCCTAACACGAAATCCCCGGCCCTGCTGTGCTTTTTAAACTTTTTGCCTCCGGTGAAACACATGCTCAGAAGGGTAAATTATCTCTGTCTGCAATGGAAGATGTTTTCTGTCCCTCACGTGTTAATGGCTGTCACCCTGAATTCTATAACTTAAGAAGGCTGAGCTGTGAAGTTGCCCATTTTTACTTTGGGCCGTAGACTAGATGATGGTTTGTAACTAGGTCTGTGTGCCTATGACGGAATTCCCACTTCTTTTTTTTCTTTCTTTCTTTTTTGGTTCATGGCCTCTTTGCATTGTTTTTCTTCTTCCTCCTCCTCCTCCCCTGCTCCTCCTCTTCCTCCTCCTCCTCCTCTTCTTCTTCTTCTTCTTTATTTATTTATTTGGTACCAGGAATTGAATTCAGGACCTTGTGCTTTCCAGGCAGTCACAGTGTTTCTTTCTTTCTTTCTTTCTTTCTTTCTTTCTTTCTTTCTTTCTTTCTTTCTTTCTTTCTTTCTTTCTTTCTTTCTTTCTTTCTTCCTTTCTTCCTTTCTTCCTTTCTTCCTTTCTTCCTTTCTTCCTTTCTTCCTTTCTTCCTTTCTTTCTTTCTTTCTTTTTATAGCAAAACATGTATTGGTGCATTTTAGGCATACATAATGCTAATCCTCATCGCAGGGGAAATTCCCTTTTGATAAGAGCTCATTTTCAGGAGAGTGAGAAAGCTAAGGTCCCCTGGAGGCCGTGTTAAAGGGTCCTACACTGAAGTGACGTTTTTTTTTGGGGGGGGTGACACAGGTGGTTAGGGCGTAGCAAAATTGGCTGGGAGAAGTAGGCATGGCCTGTTAATTA